AGCGTATGCTCTCGGATCACGACCTTTCTCTCTTCAATACGGAACATATACTTATTTTCATGAACCTAGTTAGACTTACTGCTATTGATCTCTCGATTTGCTCCCCTTCACTTTTCACTCGCTTTTCTTGGATGGTCGACAGTGAACCACGGTGCAGTGATCATTTTACTGCCATTATGAAGGAGGTTGGCCATGGTCGATGCCATCCAACCTGAGTGCCACAGTGAAAGCTGGACCAGGCTGACTGGCCATCTTTCACCTCTCTCTCTGAACTTGATCCTGTCTTTGTCTGTCTGCCACCAATAGACGACTGTGTTGTTGCAGTGACTGACTGTATTGTCCAGGCAGTTGCTTATTTTATTCCTAAGACCTCGACACGTTTTCCACGGTATCCTCGTTCATGGTGGAGTCCTGCCTCCGATGGTATCCCTCTCTTTCTAACTGCATTGTTTATCAGTGGGCCCGTGCCCATGCTCGGCGGGTTCGACGTCAAAGCCAAAAGGAGTCTTGGATTAAGTTCACAACTAGCATCTCTTCTCCCACCAGTTCCAAAACTGTGTGGGACAAGATTCGGAAAGTCACTGAAGGTATGCCTCCCACCCCCTTTCCATCTTGCTCTCCAATGGCCAGGAAGTTGCTGATGTCCAGAGCATTGCTGATGCTCTCGGCCACAGCTTTTCTCGTGCTTCTAGCACTTCTGTTTCTTCCCCTGCCTTTTTGGCCATCAAGTCTCGGGCAGAGCGATTGCCTCTTTCCTTTCGGGCCGATCGTCTCTATGATTATAATTGCCCCTTTACACTGGTGGAACTCAAACTTGCTCTTCATCGGTCTGGTAGTACATGATGATGTTCATTATGAGATGTTGCGCCATCACTCTCCTGCCTCTCTTGCTATTCTTCTGGTTATTTTTAACCAGATCTGACAGGAGCATGTTTTTCCTGATGCTTAGTGCCAGGCTATTATCCTCCCTTTCTCTAAACCTGGAAAGGATTACAAGACTCATTCTAATTATCATCCCATCGCTTTGACTAGTTGTCTTTGTAAGGTCCTGGAGAGGATGGTTAATTCTCATCTTGTTTGGTTCCTGAAATCGAACACGCTCCTCTCACCCACCCAGTGTGGGTTCTGTCGACTGCAATCCACCATAGACCATCTGATTTGACTTGAGAAGTCGATCAGGGAAGCCTTTCTCAAGAGAACACCTTGTTTCTGTGTTCTTTGATCTCGAGAAGGCTTATGACACCATGTGGAGGCATGGAATTTTGCAGGACCTCCAATCCTATGGGTTGCATGGCCATCTACCCATTTTTATTCACAACTTTTTACTGAACAGGCGATTCGAAGTCCGTGTGGGTTCAACTCTTTCCCGTTCCTTTCCACAGGAACTTGGAGTCCCTCATGGCTGTGTCTTGAGTGTCACACTTTTTAGTGTTAAAATTAATGTCATCACTAATAATCTTCCTCCAACTGTTGCAAATGGGCTCTATGTCGACGACTTCCACATCTTGTGTCAGTCGTAGAACGTGAGGTTTATTGAGTGGCAGCTTCAAACTGCCCTCAATCGGTTGTTAACATGGAACACTGCAAATGGTTTTAGATTTTTTTTTCCCAAAACTGTTTGCATGCATTTTTGCCGCCAACGGGATCTCCACTCCGGTCCCGAGCTCCGTCTCGGCGATATAGTTATTCGTGTGGTCCTTGAGGCAAAGTTCTTGGGGCTTATCTTTGACTGTAAGGTTAGCTTCATTCTGCACATCAAGCAGCTACGTGTCAAGTGTGCAAGAGCTACGAACATCCTCCATGTCCTCTCTTCCAGCTCTTGGGGAGCAGATCGATGTTCTATGGTCAGGATCTATCGTGTCCTGATTCGATCCAAACTGGACTATGGGTCTTTGGTCTATGGTTCTGCCAGGACCTCGGCATTGAAGATGCCGGACCCCATTCACCATCTGGGGCTTCGGCTCTGCATCGGGGCTTTTTGCACTTCTCTTGTCCAGAGTTTGTACACTGAGTCCCACGAACCTCCTCTTCACCTTCGTTGTTTGCAACTTTCTTTACAATATGCTACCAAGCTTCGATATTTACCGCGGCATCCCATCTTGGATTGTGTCTTTCTTCCTCTATGTGCCATGCTCTTTCGGATCAGACGGTCTGCTATTCCTTCCTTTGGCCTTGGTATCCAAGCACAACTGGTTGAATTGGGTCTGGCATTGGATGACACTGCTGTCCCGAATGATCAGCCCATTCAACCATGGCTTATTACCATCCCTTCCTGTGATCTTTCTCTGAGTCATCTGAGGAAGGCGAATACTCCGTCTTCTTCTTGCTGAACATCTTTCGAGCCATTCTTCTCTTCCTATTTACACGGATGGTTCGAAATCGGGTGACTCTGTAGTTGCTCGCAGGATTCCTCTACAGTTTCTGTGTTCACTGCCGAGTTATACGCTATTTCTCTTGCCCTGGATCATGTAGAAGCTA